AAATCGCAAGTCCCGAAAAATTCAAGAAGGATCCCTTGTGTTCTCTGTTCGTCGGCTTCAGCATCATGCAGGACTCGAGCTTCGAATCATCAGTTGTGCAACCCAGAGACTTGAAGGCCATGCAACATGCGGGGGGTGCCACCTCCAAAAAATCACAACAAAGTTACCAGACACCATAAGACATTGCTTGCAGGTCCTGGGGCGCAATAGGGGCCGTGATGGTTGCCGCATCCTGCCGACTCTGAGTTCGCTGCGTCGCTGAGTTCTGGGGCATGAAACTAAAGACACTAATAGTGCTTCTGGCACTTGACACTTCCGTAAGAAATCAGCATACATCTCTCTGTGCAAAACATATCGATGAATGCAAGCAACGGCCGCAAGACCCACAGCGCAAAACTTCAAAAGTCAAGAAATGCCCCCCAGCCCCCTTCTCCTTGAGGTTCTCCGAGATCGCTGCCACAAGTTTGGCCGCTGCCAATTCCGGCCTCGCGGTGGCACGGTCAGTCACGCACTCCCTTGACGTCTCGGTTGGGTGTGCCCTCCACCGCTTCTTCGTCTTGCCGCTCTTTCATACTCTCCCTCTCTTCTAGTCCACTAGCTACGATGTAGTGATAGAGCCAACTTAAATGGCACATATTCAGTGCCCAAGGTCAGTGCCCAACAGAATACATGCTGCCACAACAGCAGAAAAGAAACACAAAACAAGGTAGCTCTTCGCCGTTCATGGGTTGCCAATTGCACGAAACCTGTCGCTTTGGAGAGCACTCTTGTTCCTCAAGCATAAGCCCGGCAAAACAATAATCGAGACAAGCAGCGGCAGATTGACGTCGATGTTTGCCCAGAAGGTGTCAAGCCTCGGGTGTACAGGACTGAGTATTGTAGACTGCTGTCATGTGCAAATCACGTTCAGCCCCTCCCAATCCCCGAGTTGGCGCTGCGTGCCCTGAGCAATGTGCCTGCATGGTCTACATGGTAAGATGTTGTTGATTCAGGTGTCAGCTGCCACTGAACTGCTTTGAATACAGGCTGCCAGCTTGCCTGAACAATACGACTACATTAAAAAATGCCAAAACTTTTCTGGACCTGCACATCAAGCCCGTTCAAGATCAAAAGCTGCATCAAAAATTTGATGGAATCCATGCTCCTTTGCACTAACGTTTCATTGACATCGTGAGCAATGTACAGTGGTTGGCTTCTCGCAACTACGAGTTTTGTGAGAGTTGCAACTGCGAGGTGTTTTTCTGTGCCTTACTTAAGGCACCCACACACGCGCGGCGAGCAAGCCCCGGCGACATCGGTAATTACAGTGGTTCGTGTGGATCGCATGTCGAAAACCTCGGCCCTGCCACCTGAAAATCTTGTTTTTGCAGTGTTTCTTCTACCCCATGCACTGCAAACACGTCCTGGCACAAGCACTGGCTGTGAAGCCGGTGGTCCATCAAAAGACACTTGGGGCGTAAACGACGGCTTCTAATGCCCTGGGTGCTCCCCAAGCAATTTGAATGCCCTCGCAAGGCAAACCCGCATTGACTTAACGAACAAGACACGCTCGCCTTGCATACTCGCATAATTTCCACTTCCAACATCCCCACCCAATCCCTAACACCCAACTGCAAGGATTGCTTGCGCAGAGTTTCTGGGAACCACGCTTGAGCACAAGGTGAAGACTTTTTGGGCAGCACGCCATAGTGTCCATTTCAGTTGCAGTGGAAGAAGATAGGGAATAGCGGCATAACCAAGCATCAAGTGTCTCTTTGTGGGCGTTGGGCGTTGCAGGCTGTATGGCAGATTCGGGAAAAGGTTTGGTTACAACATAACTTTTTAAAAAAGAAAAAACGAGGTTTCGGGGGCGCAGTGCACGCCACAAGATCCGAAGCGACCTGTCCGTCTCTCTCGTTTCCCTGCCCTTTAGATGTATACATCTTTCTTTCTTTCTTTCGGGCCAGGGGCAAGCCCCGCGTCAGAGCGTGCCCCGATCCTGCTCCTGTGGTAGAAACTCGACAGGAGTTTCTACCACCCGCTATCCGTCCCTCATCCCTCTCTGATCGCTCTCTCCTCTCTCATCTTCCTCATCATTCTCTCTGATTGCTCTTCTTCTTCTTCTTCTTGTTCTTCTTCTTCTTCTTCTTCTTCTTCTTCTTCTTCTTCTTCTTCTTCTTCTTCTTCTTCTTCTTCTTCTTCTTCTTCTTCTTCTTCTTCTTCTTCTTCTTCTTCTTCTTCTTCTTCTTCTTCTTCTTCTTCTTCTTCTTCTTCTTCTTCTTCTTCTTCTTCTTCGGGGCATGAAGGACGCTGGCGCGCCCTCCGCGCACAATGCGCTCACTCTCTCTCTCTCTCTCTCTCTCTCTCTCTCTCTCTCTCTGTCTCTCTCTCATGTCTCCCTCATGTCTCTCTCCCATCTCTCTCACCTCTCATCTCTGTCTCATCTCTCTCATCTCCCTCTCATCTCTTTCTCATCTTGCTCTCATCGCTCTCTCAGCTCACTCTCATATCTCTCTCATCTCTGTCTCCCGAACTTTACAGACGCTTCCTTGTTCGCGAGCTCACGGTACGCTATTGATAACAGCACGAGTAAAAACGCGAACGAATTTCGCAAGTGAACGCAGTTATAGTAATAGCAGCCGTGAAGATAATGAGCCCGGCGTAAAGAACATCATTTTTGTATCCTTTCCATACAACCTGGCAGCGGGGCGCTAACCGTGAAACCTTATCATGGCGGACTGTGAAACATCGACCCCTTATGAAACAGATCGCGCGGGCCGCGACAGCGGCTGGCCCACTAGCGGCTATCGCAACATTCCGTTACAGTTGCCCGCGCGAGCCTCTTTAACCTGCTTGTACAGGAAACATTCCGGTACAGCTTGGCCTGCCTGAGCCACCCTTGGCCTGCTTGTTTCAACAACAGCCCGCCTGAGCCTCTCTGCCCGGCTTATAATGAGGCAGCATTCCGGCACAGTTGCCCGAGCCCCTCTGCTGATCCAACTCACATTCTGGTACAGCTGCCCTGTTCTGAGCACTTCGTGTCAAATGATGTGTGCCACACTTTGTCTTGAAACCACTTTTCGGGTGGGGAAGTACTGCAGCCGTTGCCGTTTTCAGACGAGTTGCATTCCCCAGCCGTCAGTGTCACAGCTGTCCTAGCAGGCTACGTCAGCAAAGCGAAGCAACCCCACACGTGGTCTCGAGACAACTGAACGAAACTGCACGTTTGGCATTCGTAGCCTCGGCAAGGGTGAACTACCAAACCTTAAACCCCACACCTGTGTGTTGCAATCAGTTGCACACCCGCCTCAGAAGGCTCTTCCGCCTCTGCAGAAAAAAAAGGCAAGCTCGCTGCGGCTGTCACGCGGCACAGAGTGATCCAAGGCCAACGAGCACGGGCCAAACACTATTCAATTCATCGAGTGAGCTCACACTTGTTCGGCTAGTAGCTAGGGTGCAAATATTTGCAGTGCACTGCGCCGTCGTCACCAACATCGAGGCAGCAGGGACCATGCCTGTGGTGTTGCAGTTGAGCTGCTTGCGGGTTCCTGGCCAACACGAGGCATTGCTGCATGGCTAGGCCCATCAAGAAGGCCAGCAATCTCTGCACCTGCACCTCCTTCATATCAACGACAAGCGATCAAAGCTTCAAACAGCTGCTTCTACATCCGGACTAAAAGCACATGCGGGCCTCTGCCATCATTGAGGCCAGTGCTGCAGCATCCTGCCAGCATGACTCTCATCAGTTGAAAACAAAGCCCAGCCCACTGCTGGCCCCCAATGATTCGGGACTTTCAACGCAGACATTCACGCTCCACCGATCAAGCTACTGCTTCTACATCCGAGTTCTCAGTACAAGCACATGTTGGCCTCTGCCATCATTGAGGCCAGTGCTGCAGCATCCTGCCAGCATGACTCTCATTAACTGAAAACAAAACGCCCACTGCAGGCCCCTAGTGATTCGGGACTTTCAACGCAGACATTCACGGTCCACCAATCACAACCAAAGGCCCAGTCTCCCAATTGAAAGTGAAGCCTTTGCTCGAATGCATGGGCCTCGTCCGACATCTGCGGGTCTGTCGGCTTCTGGCCAGGGTCACTACTTGGCAGATAAACGCATCCCATCTTGAAATGTGCAACTTCATTGCCTTGCAAGGCGCAATATAATGTATGCACCGAATCACTCGTGAGACACCAGCCTTCTGCGACGTGGCAATGAGCATCTGTAAGAAGTCATCTGCTGCCTCGCCCTGCACAATAGCAGCGATGTTTTGACGTGGTGGGGAGAACTAGACTGAACCCTAGTACAGGGGACACTGGCGTGCTGATGGTCGCTGGCGCTAAGAGACCACAGAAGCCCTGAATAAACCAGCAGAATGAGTATGATTAAGGTTGAACCCACCTGCCACTGCACCTGCCGCACGAGTAAAGCAAATGTTCCAAAACCGCACCCTCAGTAGACACGTTCTGGCCATCGCTGACAAAAGAAAATTCGGATAGCTCATAAAGCCCTTGAAGGCTAGCATTGGCCGCCGGGCATAAGCCCACAGTGCGAACGACCAAACGCACACGCCCGTAAAACTCATGGGAAGAGCTAAAACAAAACAAGAGGCCCCTTCAAACCCACACCTGACCATTGCAATCAGTTGCACACCCGCCTCAGAAGGCTCTTCCGCCTCTGCAGCAAAAAAAGGCAAGCTCGCTGTGATCCAAGGCCGACGAACGCGGGCCAAACACTATTCAATTCATCGAGTGAGCTCACACTTGTTCGGCTAGTAGCTAGGGTGCAAATATTTGCAGTGCACTGCGCCGTCGTCACCAACATCGAGGCAGCAGGGACCATGCCTGTGGTGTTGCAGTTGAGCTGCTTGCGGGTTCCTGGCCAACACGAGGCATTGCTGCATGGCTAGGCCCATCAAGAAGGCCAGCAATCTCTGCACCTGCACCTCCTTCATATCAACGACAAGCGATCAAAGCTTCAAACAGCTGCTTCTACATCCGGACTAAAAGCACATGCGGGCCTCTGCCATCATTGAGGCCAGTGCTGCAGCATCCTGCCAGCATGACTCTCATCAGTTGAAAACAAAGCGCAGAGCCCCAGTGATTCGGGACTTTCAACGCAAACATTCAGGTCTCCCAATTGAAAGTGAACCCTTTGCCCGAATGCAAGGGCCTCGGCCGTCATCTGCGGGTCTGTCGGCTTCTGGCCAGGGTCACTACTTGGCCGATAAACACATCCCGTCTTGAAATGTTGCACCTGCTATCCACAACGCAGAACCACTGATGCCTATTACCAAAGGAGCTGCAGGAGGCGGGGGGGGGGCCTGAACAAGAGACGGGGGGGGGGGGGGGGGGGGGGGGGGGTTGGATATGTTCGCGCAGGCCCCAGCGGGACGCATTATCACAACCGCGAGTCCTGGAAGTGAGAGCCGTGTAAAGGCACTCCTGGCACCCCTGGCGCCTTCTGCGATGTGGCAATGAGCATCTTCAGGAAGTCATCCGGTGCTTCTCCCTGCAATACTTACCGTAGAAGCACGCAGGAGAGCTCTGACAGGAAGACGTCACTCCTTTAGATGCCCTGGACCTGAAGGCCACCAGGGAATCAGGTATAATCAGGTGCAAACCCTAGAACTTGCCAACGTCAGAGGCCCAACCATGACGGAAGAGTGCTCTGGCCTCGGGAGGAGCTAGCGGTGCAGCTTCTGCGTCTTCCGCCTCCTTGCGCCCCGAGCTTAACGACTGGAATGGGCATATTTGCGAGAGGCTGGGAGTGGACTGAAGAAGAAAAGGCAATAGATGAAAGGGTAGTTCCTGGCGGTAGAAAAAAAATGTCAAGTGGCCACCATGAGAGGTTTAGAGACAAGGGACCTGAAGACTCAGTTATGGGATGCCGCCTGGACTACATAGGCCAGCAGCTGGCAAATAGGACCGAAATTAACTTTGCTGGTGGCACTTGACAAGTCAGCACCCATAAGACTGTGGAGAATCGAAAAACCGGCAGCAAATCGCATCAGCGCATTTCTACACATCAGGAAATCTGAGACTGCTCAGCAGATGAAAGGCACCAGCATTTATACGGCAAGAACCACACATAAAACCAGCCTTAGGGACATCGGAATGCAAGAACCATGCAGAGTGAAATGGGCATATCCACTTGCAAGAAGACCATGCCAGAACGGAATGCTGAATCAAATGCGGCATGCAAGAGCCCCTACACGAAGCCACCCACCCCCCTCCAAGCCAAGATTCCAGAAACCGGAACATCTACCATCCTTGAGGCCACGATCATCCCCACAGTCTGGAGCCCTCAATTTTCCTGTTAAGCCGCATGGCAGTCAGAAGCAATCGCATGCCGGCCTCGTGTTGGGGAGCTTGCTGCGCTGGTTCCGCTTCTATCTCCTTAACCATCTTAACTGTAAGATTTCGCAGTGCGAGCACCAGCCTAGCTACGAAGGAACAACGAATTTCATCTGGGCCCCAGACAGCTGGCTGTGGTGCCTCTGGGGGCGCCTCGCAAGCAGGAGGGGTCTGTAGGGAAAAAATGAAGGAGGAGATCGCTTTGGGGCGTTGGATTTATAACAGACTGCTTCTTGAAGCGTACCTGCTGTAATGTGGCACACTCGGCTCTTGGCAACTGAAGTGTCACTGAGTTGCCTACTTCCTGTAAACAGTTCAGTCCGTTGAAGTTACTGCTGGCGAGCGGACCCTGATATTGCAGACATGCGCCGATAGATCAAAGTAGTTTTAAGCCTAACACATCTTGCCAATCGCCAGCCACTCTGCTCGCGCTCCCAACCTGCTGACTTAAAGTATGCTGTAGATCGATGCAACATGTAGCATGTCGCTACTACGTCGCTCAAGCCTGAGCAGCCTCTGCTGGTTCATCTGCCTGTCTGGCTGTGCTCACAATACCAGATCGATGTAGGCCGAAGATCCCCGAGAACAACAGAAACAAAACCAATCACAGCAGTAGCATCAACAAGCACAGCAAAACCAATACCAACCAAGAATATCAAGAACAGCTGCGAGTTGTCTCAGGCCAGGCCAATAGAAGGTGATGCACGCAAGCTGCAATCTATTCTGGTTCATCTCTTGTGCTTGATATTGCGAGCTGCCCACCGCCTGCTGGAAGAGCTCTAGTAGCGCCCGTCGGTCTTGCATCTCCTGCAAGTTAAGGTCGGACTTGAAAACAACGAGGATGCGAAATCTGTAGATCTTTCCCTTCCCCAAAAGCAAGCAACCAGGACCAACAGATAGAAAAGAACCGAGAGTCAAGAAAACAAAACCTGGGTAAACAGAAAAAGGGCCTCGAAACCACATGCCGCAAAAACAAATGTTTGCAGCCATGACTCCGAGCTGACTACCTGAATCCATGAACTCGGAAGGTACACACCAGCTGTGCGTCTGTGGCTGTGGAAAAAGGTCCCAACTTTCCAACACTGCTTGGGTGAGAGACAGTGAGGTGAGTGAGCGAGTCAGCGGAGCGAGACAAGGAGCACTCTGTTGCAGGTTCGAACTGCTGACTGGGGCGGGGCCCGTATTGTGGAAGTGGGGGAAAGCCAAACGATGAGCCGACAAAAGCGTCACATCCAAACCGGGGCATGCAACTTGCTCGGGATCATGATGAGCATGAACCCGCGGTGCTTACGAGTGTTTGAGCTTTCGGACATCGGAAATCACGCTGGCGACGATTTCAGGCTGCTGGATTTCGGGTGCACGCCAGCTGTACCAATAGAATTGAGACGTGCATCCAAATCGTATGCGGATGGCCCAGCGAAACGGATCAAAACGGCTTTCGAGACCCAGCCTCCAGATTAGGTGCCGCCACTCTTCAGAGTTGCCATTGCAAGTTGCCATGAGCCAGGAGCTTCACAAGACTTGTTGACAAAGGTATTTTACAAAGGCAATTTAACATGGAGGAGGCAGGCGACTCCTGCTCAGCCGTCTTCTGCGCCGTTCTCTCATTGAGTATCTCGCGCTGCCGCATCTGCAGCACCTGCACAGATAGAAGGGTTTGGATGGGCCTGCAGATGGCTGGCGCAGCGTGGCTTCAACGACTTACGGGGAAAGCCCGGTGCCTCGTGCTTAATGCGCATGCGATCGCCCACGGAGACCATGTTTCGGACAATCTTCCTGGAGAGTTCACACGCCAGCAAACTGTTCGCAGGGGAAGCACTCAAAAGAATGTTTGCATCTTCTTACGTGGCTCCCGAATCAACGCATCTGTCGGGCCCCAGCCCCCATCTCTTGCGCTATGCGGCTATCTGTCTGCCCATTTTCGAACCCATTGCGAAGACCTGACCCAACGACAGCCTTCAAGAAGATCCAGCAACTTAAGACTCGATGGGTCTCGATGGAATCCTTCCGCATCTAAGCGTTTCAACCTCCCCCGCTGCTTGCAGATCGGCGGCCGTAACTTGTAGACGAAAACCTTGCAGAGCTCTCTATTTCTATCTCTCTGTTGCTCTCTCTCTCTCTCTCTCTCTCTGTGTTTGTCTCTCATTTTCCTCTCTCTCTCTCTCTCTCTCGCGCTCTCTCGCTCTCTCTCGCTAACTCTCTCGCTCTCTCTCTCTCTCTCTCTGCAGTAGCAAGCTTGGCAGCGGTGGTTACGGGCCTGGTGTAAGGATCCGCTTTTGTGTTCGCGGATTACAGGACGGTCACCGAGGCATTGAACATCGACTTTAAAGGCCGATCGATGTCCTTCGATTATGCCCATTTTGTGAAGCCCCTGGGAGCCCTCAGAGAGGCTCGCCGTCAGTCTCTTTCTATGTTTCCTTTCTTTCTCTTCCTCTTTCTCTTCACCTTTCTCTTCCTCTTTGTCTTCTCTCGCTACCTCTCTTTTTTTCTGCAGGGTATGAAGGGCGCAAGCGCCCTCCGTGCACCCGGCGCGCCCTGGATGGTTCGAGTCTCCGTGAGACTTCACACTGGACACAGGAGCAGAGACCTTGCAGTCACTCGCGTTCCTCTATTATCCCTCTCCCCCTCTCTCTCTTTCTCTTGCCAGCCTCGCATTCGAAGAACGGGATGAGGGCTTCTTCACCCTCTTCCCTGGGCCGAGACTCAAATTTGTTGGAGACGGGACTAAGACTTGAAGATTATCAGGTCCACTCATTTCCAACCTTTGTCATGTTCACGTTTCTGCAATTTCAAGGAAGAGCGGAACAGACGTGGGTACGAGAAACGTAGAAACGACGGCGTGAGTTGTTGGGCCAAGTTGTTGGGAGACCTTGTTCTGACGATTTCTGAGTTTCCTCAGAGTCCTCGAGGCCTGGCTCTTCTGCGGTGTCTGGCCCCAAGACCTGGCAACTTCCCAAATCTGAGGCGACCGCTTGAGACAATTGATCATGTTCCTGATGTCAGGATCCCACTTCACGGCCTTCCAGGATGACTCCAAGGCACCCGAACCGAGATGAATCATAATGCACCAAGCAAAAGTGGGACTACAAACGGCTACAATATTCTTGCAAGAGCTTCCGAAGCGCCAGGCCCCGTCCCAAGCAAAGCCCCGGACGAGAACATGTAAGTATGTAGCTGGGACTTTTGAGTTAAGAGTTACCGTAAGGCTCTCAGCAAGTTCCAAGTGGGGGGGCTGGGGTGTGCCCGAAAACAAAACAAGAACACGTCCTGCCCCAGCAAACAAACATCCACCCAATCTTGCTCCCGGGTGTCGAGCGTCCACCCTCTCCGGTGCTGGGCATGCCCAACAATGTTCGAGGAGTGGCCATTGCAGGGCAATGTTGGGACAACAAAAACTACATCACATCACCTTCGAACTGTCCCCACCGCACTCACCAGCGGTCTTCTATTGCCCATTCCCAAGTCTTGTGGACATGTGCACTGACTTTTAGGAGCTTCTTGCACATTGGCAACCGAGTCGGCTCCATATGAGGCGTTTGACAGCCGATTTGTGAAGAAAAATCATGCGGATAGGGAGTACTGGGTTTTGCAATTTGCGTTGCAAGCACTGCCACGCGAATTTAGCGCACTGTTCTGCCCAATGCAATCTTCGGCGTCTTGGGGCCTCAAGTCTGCACCACTCGTTCCCCTCCTGGAGTTGAAACAGGTTGAAACTACGGTGCCGTGAGAGGTGCTCGCAATACGTCCCCAGTGATAAAAAGGACAAGCAGCCACACGCTGTATAAGCTTCCACGCAGTTGAAGCCTATATTTTCCGTTTGCGTTTTGCCTTCATTGCTGGCAAGAGCAATTCAATGGTGCTTCCTTGCTGACCTTGAAAGGCCTCTGACCATGGCGAACGTTCGGGCTGCTCCCCCATACTGTGGAGAGCGAGGCACAAAAAACATGGAGCAAACCTATCCTCAGTCAGAATCATACGATGGATCAAGATGGGGCCCGACTAAACCTCAAAGCGTGCAAGCGACATGTACTTCAGTTTCAATCAAGCGCAACGCTGGTTGATTGAGAACTGCAGAGCCCACAAGAGGGAGTCTTGGCATGCTGAAAGGAGAGCGGCATCGAGCAGCAAATGGCATTAAGGTGATTTGGGCGGCAAGCCCTCAAACCACAAAGGGTCGAACTGGCGGGGCATAAACCTCTGACCTCTGAAAGCGAAACAGAAACCATGAATGATCAGCAAGCTGAAGCACAACGGCAACGCTTAAGAAGGGCTTTGGAATGACGATGAAAGACGACGGCTCCAACTGACCAAGTAATCAGCGACATAACTTGCAACTTCGATTTTCAGTTCAGTGCCTCCAACCACAAAGGAGCGATATTGCAAGAGAGCAGAATTGCTGAGCTCTCGGCAGGGAGGGTGGGGAAACAGTCCAATTTCATCTCTATTCGGGTCGTGATTGCAATGGAGAACTACCACGGGCCCCACAGCTCTCCCTACGGCTTTTCCTACAGCTTTTGGGCGCCGGGCCCACCGCAAGCATTTGCAAGGTGGTGGCAGCGCCACCCGGAACTTTGGCTTCGGCTCCGGATCCGCTGCCTCCTCCTCCTGGCAACCGAAGAATAACACAAACGCTGATGATCATGATGTGATGATTTTTGACGTGTTCTGTCTCATGATGTCTCATTTTGATCTGTTACATGATGTCCACTGACCAAATACAAGGCCACTGTTCCATCTTCGTGCACTGGTCTTTAGCAACGGCTCCAAATGAGACCTTTACTGACAGTCAAACACTGCTGACCGAGCTGAGGCGTTCACACGGGCAGCGCATTTTGCGCGCGAAATGCTTGCAAGCCATTGGCGCCTTGGCAACACGGTCTGCAACCAGGTTCTGACCCAAACCGACGATCTCCCAGAAGCACCCCCCCCCACTCCTTCATGGCCCCACAGCCATGCTGGAAAGCTCCAAGCTTAATCCGCGAGGCCTCGGGCCGTAGGCGCATGGGTAGCACAAAGCAGGCGCCCCACCTCTTGTCCCCTCCATACTACCCACCCCACCAGCCCTAACCCCAACCCCCCCCCCTCACGCCTTGCCTTCTTTGGTGGGTCTTCGCAGCCCTCACCCCCTCAGCCCTCGACAAAACCTCCACCCCCCAGGAAAGGCCACGGAAGTTCTGGAGAGTAGGGTTGGCTGTGGCATTGGCCTCAATGTCCTCTCGACAGCAACCTCGCGGCTGCGCAGGCCGCGGCCGAGGCGGGTCGTGCAGCATTAAAATTACAAAATTTACACTCAACAGCACTACTTGCCGACGGGCATGGCGCCCTCGAACGGTGCATGAATCTTGTGGCGACATTGGCTCTCCTGCTCTACGAGCCACATATCCTAAACGATTGCCAGGGCACACAGCCTTGAAAAAAAGGTAGCAAATGATCAGCGCGATGAGCAACAGCTGCAAAGCGATGGAGAAAAGAATCAAATCATGGCCTGAGCTCTTGAAGCGTCTCGCCTACTCCGGTAAAACGGCTCTGTGCTTACAACGTTTGTTACTGCACCCTCCTCGCTGCACCTTTTCCATATCTGCAGCTACGGCGCACAGACTATGTACCACCTTTCATTCTGCCTCAACTTCCGGCATCAAACTGAATCCAAGTGGCAGAGCGCGGGCAAAAGTACCACGTCTTTCGCGGTCGCCGCGTCCGTGAAGAAATACAACTGGATCCTGAGGCTGTCTCATTCTAAGCTGCCGAAGGTCAAAAGGTCAACATCCCCCAACTCCCGCCATGTCAAATACCGACAGCAGCATCAGCTTGGTTGATGCCGGGACTCATTTTCGGAGCGGCTGAGAGCAGCTGGGCCATACCCATCCCCTCCCTGCGTTGAGCCGTCCTTTGAAGCACAAATGTTGCTACACTTGGATGATGTTGCTGATCACTGTCAGCTGGAAACGGGCAATTCACAGCCAAATGTTTCAGGCAATTCACTTGGAAACTCCTCTGTGAGACAGGAAACTTCAAGGTTGCAACATGTTACAGGAGTAAAGCGGAAAACTGAGTGTTGCTGTGGCACGCCGTGATCGGATACATCCGAGACTAAACAACTCCCAGAGCGACATAGAACCCCTGAACGCGATGCCGCAGACTAGCTCAACATTGTTTCGGCAAGGCTTCTACGTCTCACAGCCAGGCACAGCATCTACTCATTGACAGCAGCGCAGCTCCAACCAGGTCTCAATCCTTCACACCACAACCGTGAGGACACCAATCTGCAAGCATGCTTAGGTCTTTTTCAGTCTGAGCCGATGTGCCGTTTTCAAGATTGCAGCGGCCTTGCTTTGAAGCCAACGATGCTCGATCCCTGCAATCTGCTGTACGAGGGATGCTGCTGCCACGAACGGTACCATAATTTCCAGTTGCTAAGAGGGATCTGCCAGATCACTCAACATGGGCTTGCGGATATACAAAGGTTGCAAGAGCTTGATACCGTCCACTCAGGCCCGAAGCCCCAGCTGCCATTTCAGTTGTAACCTTGCGCACCGATGATCAGACTCGGAGTCTTGCTCACAAATCTGCCCGTTAGAGCGGCGCGCAGCTGTTCCACTTCATCCGAACAGCGTGGGTCTCCAGCCACTCTCCCTGGAGAAGAAAAGAGCATGCAAATAAAGCTGAAGGAAACCTTTCCTAGACAACATAAGGCCAGTTTTCTCCACTCGGCAAACTTTGCTCGTACTGCGGCCACCCCTGAACCTCTGTGACTGAAACACGTCCCAACCGGCGAAGGAACAAACAGGCAGAACATGTTGGGTGAGGCAATTGAAACGGAGCTAACAAATGCTAACACCCTTGAACATGCAGAGGCGTTGCCTTTCAAAAACATGATCAAGTGATCCTGCCTCAGTTGTCGTTGGAAGCTGCAGGTGCCGCCCCTCCTCAGAAAGCTGTCGGTGTTCGCAATGGGGCCGCCGAAATCCTGCGTCCACATGCTCGACGTGCGTTCCAAAGTTCAGCTTTCGAGGGCATGGAATGATGCAAATCAAGTAAAAAATTGCAAATGAAGGACGACATGTGACTGGACACTTGCCATTGCCTTGGCATACGTAAAAACCCGTGATGGCGAGCAAAGCTGTCCAAACTTGTCCAACGAGATATCACAACGCCGGTGAAAGGGGCGTTCTTGCGCGTGAGAACTGAATGGCATCCGAGGCTCAACTCTCCCTCATTTCTGAGGAAGGACGAATACGCTGCCATCTTCGATGCTCTCACCCTTTGCTGTAGTCCAGGGCTTTCTCCCTCTCTCTCGATTGCTGCAAAGGCCACATGCAACTTCCAGACATGGCTGTTGGCCGTTCCGAGGCAACAGTTTTTACGCTTGTAAACGAAGGAGCTGGCCATACAGCATCTCGATGCCATCTATCTGGCCACTGCCTGAGCATTGCGCGCCGCGTCTTTGTACATGTGTCAACAAACACTTTCTCACCCTTGAACGCTGGCACCCTGAAACACAGAAATTATGTCTGGTGTGAAAACAATCACCAACAACTGGCTGAAAATTTGAGAATAATATATATATATATATATATACATGCATATTACATATATATGCATTAAACATGATGTCGTCTCCTTTGCTTCTGTCACATTTCCTTGTACGCTTTTCCTCTACATCTGCGGCCTGAGTCGCATTTCGGTCGGCCATGCCACAGGTTGCGTGGGCCGCTTCCATTTGCAGCGAAAAGCCTCTGAACATGTTCGAATGCCACACAGACTGTTCGCAGGCTAAAGCAGCTAAGCATTGCTCAGCACCCTTATGCCGCTATTGCAAGATGCGTAAGAGACGGAGAAAGCTTCCGAAGCCTCGCATGTTGACGCTAACTAACACACCCGTCCAGCCAAACTAGTTGACAACATCGGGGAATGTCGCTGACACCGTCCATTTGCTGCCTCTTTAACAACATACAGCAACTACCAGCTGGGAAATAAAGCAACGTTCACCAAGCAAGATACCCATGATCACAACGACAACGACAGAGACGACGACAACGAGAATTCACGGCGTAGTCAGCTAAGAGGCTCCATGGCATCCAACTTGTCGCCAGGCATGGCGCGGACCAAACGTCAGTAAAGTGATTGGAATATTCCGGCACTAAATCCGTTAGCGGATGCTCACCGCATGCTGCCGCATGCGGCAATCCACGGTTTGGCAATGGTCTGCTGCATGATGGCCAAGCAAACACAATCTGTCGATGGAATGAATGATTGTACCCAGGTATACCATGTACATGCCATTTTTCATCACGACACTTCAAACTCCAGCCACATTGTCTTTACGGAATGCATCATGCTCCCGTTCAACAACGAAACAGGGAAACTGCAAAGCATCGAAAACAATGGGCACACGTACACAGTGTGCAGTCTCTCTCTCTTTCTCTCCGCGGCTGTGTGTCCCTCTGTCTATCTCTCCCGTCTCTCCCGTCTCTCCCGTCTCTCCCGTCTCTCCCGTCTCTCCCGTCTCTCCCGTCTCTCCCGTCTCTCCCGTCTCTCCCGTCTCTCCCGTCTCTCCCGTCTCTCCCGTCTCTCCCGTCTCTCCCGTCTCTCCCGTCTCTCCCGTCTCTCCCGTCTCTCCCGTCTCCCGTCTCTCCCGTCTCTCCCGTCTCTCCCGTCTCTCCCGTCTCTCCCGTCTCTCCCGTCTCTCCCGTCTCTCCCGTCTCTCCCGTCTCTCCCGTCTCTTTCGTCTCTCCCGTCTCTCCCGTCTCTCCCGCTTGGTTGCTGGGTAGTGTGTGTTGTTGTTGCTTCGGTTGGTGGTGTTGTTCGTCTTTCTTGTTCTTTTTGCTTCTCACTGCGATCTGTTTCACACCCAGTTGCGAGACCCACAAGAACGGCCTTCTGGTCGTGGAGTTCAAATTGGGGCCGTCCTTCTTCATGCCGAACAGAAATGCAAAATGGACCGAAAGTAGGGCGGCTCAGGCAGAAAGCCGAGCAGTGGGGCAGTGCGGAAGGTTCCTCTTCTGGCGGAACTGGATGTTCTTCGCCCGCTTCACGCGTCTCTCTCCCGTCTCTCTCCCGTCTCTCTCCCGTCTCTCTCCCGTCTCTCCCGTCTCTCTCCCGTCTCTCTCCCGTCTCTCTCCCGTCTCTCTCCCGTCTCTCTCCCGTCTCTCTCCCGTCTCTCTCCCGTCTCTCTCCCGTCTCTCTCCCGTCTCTCCCCCGTCTCTCCCCCGTCTCTCCCCCGTCTCTCTCCCGTCTCCCCCGTCTCCCCCGTCTCTCCCCCGTCTCTCCCCCGTCTCTCCCCCGTCTCTCCTCTCCCCCGTCTCCGCCCGTCCCTCTCCCCCGGTCGTCTCTCCCGTCTCTCTCCCGTCTCTCTCCCGTCTCTCTCCCGTCTCTCCCCGTCTTCCCCTCTCTCCCGCTCTACCCCGTCTCTCCCCGATCTCTCTCCCCCCCTCTCCCCCCCCTCCCCCGGTCTCTTCCCGATCTCTCCCCCGTCGCCCCGCCCGTTCCCCCCCGTCTCTCCCCCCGTCCCCGCGTCTCCTCCCCCGTCTCTGCCCGTCGTCTCCCCCGTCTCTCTCTCCCCCGTCTCTCCCCCGTCTCTCCCCCGTCTCTCCCCCGTCTCTCCCCCGTCTCTCCCGCGTCTCTCCCGCGTCTCTCCCGCGTCTTTCCCGCGTCTCTCCCGCGTCTGCAGAATTCTGCATTTGGGTTTAGGTTTTTTAACACCTAGATTTCTTGTCACAGATAGTTGCAGCATAGGGCGGAGGCCTCTTCGTGTTAGTCTTACCTGGCAGGAACACTTTGGTTTTCTGTTGGAAAAGTGCCTGGAACAACCGGCAGGAACAAGCCTGTTCTTCCTTAGAGTGCCGAATGCAACGGACATCTGTTCTATCTTGCGCAGCACGATGGCCTAATTATGTCTGGCCTTCTAAAGATCTTTGAGGCATTAGCTGGCCTTTAGAAAATTTTTAGGCAGCTGGAGAGGCCGACCTCAGTTTAAGAAGCTTACTCCGTCGGTTTGCTGGTGTCGGTGGGTGGAGGTCCGGCTGGTTTACCCGTTGTCACGTGTTTTCGACAACGAACTCTTGGGTACCTGTTGGACCCAGGACAACCTGCCTTATGGTGGGAGCTTGCATAAGTTTAAGTTTAATGTTAGAGATCGGCTTGTGAGGCCGTAAACAAGCAGGGTGTCTCAAACTACTGCAGGCCCAGACGTGATTAGGCCCCGCAAGCGGCTGCCGGAACCTTTGCCAGAAGGCCCAGAAGGTATGTGAGAAACTGCTGCTTCAACCTTCTCCAGCAGGCCCAGAAGTGGTTAGGCCTAACACTTAAACCTGCTTAAAGTGTTCTCCACAAAAATCGGCCGCTGCGCGGGGCTCTGAGTTATAAGGCCCCTTGACTCTCACACTTGACGCGCGGTTGGCTGCAGACCGTTAAGCAGCCTTGGGGGCCTTAAAATGCTCCGAGCTCCGCGCTGCGTGCGGCCTGATGCTTGCCCTGCCGGGGGAGACCGTGAGCGAACCTGTGTAGTTGTTCTACCGTGTGAGTCCTGCCTCATCAAAAAACTCGCGCCAATCCGGCAAGTTTGGGTTGTCTGGCAAGGGGGCGGTACACGGTAGCTGTAAAAAGCGCAGCTATGCTGTTGAATCTGTTGAACGCCGCCTGTTCTTTGCGCAAACTGCTGAAACCTTCTCTGGAAGGCCCAGAAGCGATCAGGTCTCTCTAACTGCTGCCTAAAACTTTCCCGGGAGGCCCAGCAGTGTTTCAGCCTTCGGAGGCTTCCAGGCGCTACGTCACCAAGAAGCGTGCCAAGCCGATAGGCTCCCGGCACCTGGGAAGCACATGAGCCAAGTGCCAGCCAGCAGCCTTTGGGGCTCTTGCGCCGTCTCAAAAATCGGCCGCTGCGCGGGGCTGTAAAAATATGGCCTCTTGCAAGCAGCGCTCCAGGCCCGCCCTATGGCCATGGGGTCGAGCCTCAAAACTTTCGGCGCAAACACAAGGAGCCTCCAAATAGGCTACTCCCCTAATAGCTATGTGAGGACGCCCGGACTCACATAGCGCCGATGGCAGCATTGTGTAGCCACACCAGCCCCTTGCTAATAGCTATGTGAGGACGCCCGGACTCACATAGCGCCGATGGCAGCATTGTGTAGCCACACCAGCCCCTTGCCTGCCCCCGCTCGCAGGGGGGGGGGGGGGGGGGGGCGCCCTTTCTGGCACTCTGTGTGCATTGTGCATTTGTGCGCGTTCGTACCTTTCTTTCAGTGCGCTTGCAACTTTCTTGTCAACCTTACGGCCTACCCATACTTTCGCTTAATGTCTGTACCAGACGTGGCGCAGCATTGCTATGGGTAACGGGCAGCTGAGTGATTGGTGCCGGTAGGTTCTTGTTTGCGTTGGTCTCACCTCGCTGGCCTTGCGTTAAGTTGTCTTGCAATAAGGGCCTTTGCGCTAGCGGTTGCTTCTTTGTAGTCACGACTTCTTTTACACTCGCTGGCTCGTACAGTTTGGCTCTCAAAGTAGATGTCCTTCCGTTGCCAAGACCTGCCCACTGTGCCGCTGATGTGGTAAAGGGGCGTCCGCTTTAAAAAAAAACTTGGCTCAGCTGGCCCTGACCTAACCCGCTGTTGGGGCCTTTTGGATCGTGTTTTTCGCCCACCCGCCCAGTGCCCAGCTCAAACACTTCCTTCAGGCCGCTCTCACACTCCATTCGCCGTGCCACGCCTGCCTCCAAACGAGTGTGCGCCCAAGAGCCGCCATGCAGCATCGCAGCTCTTGCTGCAGAACAATCATGCATAGCCTCACCCAAAGTGGAATAGCCCATCACTACTTGCCGCATGTAGATGACTAACTCCTCCCAAAGCGGGGGTTTTGCCTGCCTGCGTGCCCGGGAGATCTCTTGCCTGGTGATCTCCCGGCATGCCGCCAACTTGCCCAGAGCAGCACCCGTGAAAACAAGCGCGCGCGTTTGGGGAGAGCGTTGTGCTGGTATAGCCACACAGCAAGCAGCACAGCCACCGCGCGCGAACAGGATGCTTCAAGAGCACACACTTTTGTTGCGTTCTCGCTCTTACTAACCAAGAGAAGCGCAAAAACAAACAAACACCCACCTCCCCCCGCCCACAACAGCAAAACCAATGCAAGTAACATCTTAGCACTCTATCAGCCGGCAGGCCTGACAAAAGCAGTCGAGGAAATTTAAAAAAGATGCGTGGCGTTCATAAGGTTAACATTGGTCTTACACAGAACTGAATTCATGCTGGCCCAGAGGGCCTAACTCACCCAAATACCAAACGACCAACTGCTCTTACGCCAAAGCCATCCAACAGACATTGCAAATGCAGTCGCAAGTTGCAAGAAAAGCCGGAGCTCTTCTTGCGACAGCAGGAAGCCGTCGAACCCGTTAAGGTCTGTACAACTACAAGTTTAAAGACTCTTTGCTTGTTGCAAATGCTTCTGTCTTCACATGCACCACAAGCCAGAAACGTTCTCCAAGCTGACAAAAGCTGCCGTGTCTCGAACTGTCGATTGCGGACGTAGAAAGTTGCAGTGCAAAAAATTACTGTGGAGGTGCCTTCGAATGACCGAGGATGTGCGCTGTTTTTGGCAAGCCTAAATGCAGCTCCTGAACCTGCAGCCTCTTTTTGGTGTCTGCTTGTACAGAAGCTCGTAGCTATGGACGGGGAGGTCGGTGTAGCAGCACATGGAGCTCCAAATGGAGCGCCAGTAGCTTTGCCACAGGCGGCGTGTTGCACCTGACAAGAGACGCGTGTGTTGTGCTTTGCAGTTTGCCAGGGAATTACCGTTTCCGGCAGGAAACGCCCCACCAGAAGATAGAGCGTCTCAAGCGAGAGCGCCGCGAAGCAAAGGACAGCTGGCTGCCTTTGTGTCAAACATGCAAGCTGCCGGACATGGTTGCGAGGCTCTTGCCAAGCAACTTACAAAGGCAGTGAAGCAGCAAGTGCGCAAAGTCAAGAAGGTCTGGGTGCGTGTTGGGCCTTGCATTGTTCATCGCTCTTTGTAGAGGCACGGGCCATTGCAAAGCTGCTCACGGAAAACGAACTCTTAGGAGTTCTCGTCGAAAAACGCCAGGCAGTGTCATGCTGTCAGAGTTTCTTGAG